CCAAATCACGTTCTACCCTAGAGCCCAGCAATGCCTCTCCTACACACTTACTAAAGAGGAATCAAAATAGATGCCTGCGAAAGACTTGTACAAGAACGGTCACTGTGACTTGATTCATAATTAGTAAAAACCAGAAGAAACCCCAACATTTGTTAAATGTAGAATGGATTAAAAGATTGTGGTAGAATCACACAACAGAATACAAATCAGCAGTAAAAATGAGTGACCTATGGATATGCACAACAGAGAGCCATGGAAACATTATGGTGGGTGAGACAACCCAGATACAAAAGAGTTCATTGTGTAGAATTCCATTTCTATAAAGTTCTAGAACAGGAAAAGCTAATTTATGGTTAGAAATAGAAACCAGAACGGTGATTGCTTGGATGGGTGGGAAGGCAGGCACTGACTGGGAAGGAGGATGATGGAACTTCCTGGGGTGATGGAAATATCCTATATTCTAATAGGAATGTGAATTACACATGTCTATCCATGTGCCAAAACTCATCCATCTGTACTCTTATGTGTCTTTTGCTGTATGCTAATTATGCATTGATTAAAAAGAAAATAATGTGTCTATGGGGGAGATAGTATTAGGGATTGAGAGAGAAGAGGATAATAATGTAACAAATGGATGCCACAGTGGCCTTGCCTGGACTTACCATTGAAAGATGCCCATTCGTGGGCATGGTCCAGCCTCTGCCCACCTCCCTCTGCACGCGCCTCCTCACCCCTGCCACAGTGTCTTTCCTCTTCCCTGCCCACCATAGAGGATTTGGCAAAGCACACCCTCATTCTGATTTTCCCCTCTGGTTCATTTGACATCGCTCCTTCATTTTCTTTCCCTCCCTTAAGGAGCTAGGAAGCTGGGGTTAGGGGTTAGGGAAGGTGTGAGGAGGAGAGGGAGAAGTGGCCTTTGCCTTCAGTTGGCCTCTGGCTGTCCTGAAGATAAGCTTTAAACCCAGCTCTGTAGGAGGCCCAGGAGAGCCCAAAGAAGTCTGAAGATGCTTATGGGAATAAGTCTGCATGGAGGGCTTTGAGGGAAGGGAAGGGAGGGCTGGAGCTTTCCTCACTCTGCATTTCTATTCCCCTTGAGTTTTTTTGTTTGTTTACTTGTTTGTTTTTTGAACATGAAAATTTCACCTTCAAACTCTAGGGGCTGAGAAAGGTGTCTCTGTCTCAGGAGGGTACTGTTCTGAGGTTCAGCCTGCTCTGCTCAGGACAGAGGTTGCAACTGAGCAATCTTCCTTAACCCCTTGGGGAAAAAAAAGAGAGAGGGAGGAATGCATTTTTTCCTTCTCCCTTATTCTGCTCTACTGACCTTTTGCTTAGCTTTTTGCTAATGTCATTTTCACTCTTGGTTGGGCTTTCTCTACAGTAAGGAAGACTTCTTTATGAAGCGACAGTGATAAACTAGGGTCATGCATTCATTCACATCGAGGAAGCCACTTCATCAGCTCTGACTTCAATATCAAATACCTCTAATCTAATCAGGAAAACAGCAAAACTCTGCAAAGTGCCCCTGTTAATCCTGTCACTTACTACCTCGCCAGATTTTGAAAAACGCAGTTTAATTAGCAAAATAAAAGAACTTAATCTTTCCCCATATTATTCACACAAGTAAAAATATATGCATTGGCTGAAGATAAAAAATAAATTGCACAGGGCTACTCAACAAATGCAGGGGTGGGGGACAGATGAGGCTGAAATCACCCTGATTGTAGAGAATGAAACAAGCTAGACTTTTTCTTAGGGCCTCAGTAAAACAGTGCAAAGAAATGCCTCTCTCCGTTAATATTTTACACACATTTAATACGAAGAAGAACAATTTTTAGGCCAAAAGGTGTTTCAACACAGAAGAAACTACTCCCCCTATTTCATCTTGCAGTTTTTGTAATATGCAATAGGGCTCTTAGCAGTCTGTGCTTTGGATAATTTTTAATAAAAATTGTAGAAGTTAAGAAAGAGAGATTTTTCCTACAACTATCTTAAAAAAGAAAATAAGGTCCCATCTTAAAAGGTGATTGCAACAGAGAAGAAAAAAAAATACACCCTTTTTTGGTCTTTTCTTTTGAACTCTAACACCTCTACCTTTTTACATATTCATAAAATGTATACGGAGCTAATTTTGAATGTGCCCTTTATGACTATATCTCGGTCATAATATCATCACGTTCTGAAGGCGTAATTAAAGATTTACCGAGATTTATGAGACTTTATCATTATCAATAGGGTTACAGAATGCCGGGGAGACACATTGTTGGAAGATTTTGCTCAGCAGTTTCTTGAGCAATGAGAGAACCGGTATTACTTTAATGCGCAAAAAAATGACTGTTCGGCACTAATATATGGCCCTTTATTAGAAAGGGAACACCAAAGACACTTCAGTCAAAACACTCCAGCGCCTGCTTACCTCTTCCTTTCGGGGGATGAAGAAGCAAAATGTCTTGCTCATCGAAATGTGAGAGCTGGAAACATCAGCTCCCTGCAGCAGAGAGTGGCTGACCTCTCAGCTCTTCCTCCTTAAAGGTTGAGCCGTATTGCAACCCATGGACCAAGATGCCTTTAAAACAATAGGACGAAGGGAGGAAAAACCCCAAACACGCCTCCTTTCCAACGTGCCTGCTGTCTATCTGTGGCCTCCCAGTTTTAGGTGGTTTCAGCGGCAATTCGAGCGGTAAGTTTGTTCGTTTTGCCATGTCTGGCTAGTGCTTCATTTTCTCATTCTCAGAGTAGTCTTCATTCAGAGCAAGGCAAGCCTCAGGACGTCATTTTTCTTGGAACCTATTTTTCACAGGGAAAATGAGCAGGGCTGAGCCCCATGTCGAGGCACCCTGTCTTCAGGCTCTGCGGTGAAAAGGCATGTGTTGAATCAGTGTCGTTATGACAGCACCTACATTGGCAGAGGCTGACTTCTTTCTGCCCATTGGCCTCTGCAGACAGCACATCCTTTCTAGTTCCTACCTGCATTTATGAGAATTCTCCAGAAACCAGAACCAATAGGATGTAGATAGATAGAGAGAGAGATAGATCTTATGGAATCGGTTCACATGATTATAGAGAATCTGTATCTGCTCTGAATCTGTAGGGTAGGCTGGCAGGCCGGGGGCTCAGGGAAGGGCTGATGTTGTAGCTCAGATCCAAAGGCAATCTACTAGCACAATTCCCTCTTCCATGGGCAAAATCGCCCTTTTTCTTAGGGCCTTCAACTGATTAGATAAGGCCCACCACGTTATGGAGAGTTACCTGTTTGACTCTAAGTCTAATGATTTAAATGTTAATCTCATCTTAAAAAAATACCTTCAAAGCAACATCCAGATGTGTGTGACCAGATACCTGTGTACTGTGGCCTTGTCAAGTTAACACGTAAAATTAACCATTTTAGCACTCATGAGTCTCACCTTACTTCTCCTTTACGAATTAGAGTCTTATATATGTATTTTTTTTGGTCCAAGAAAGAAACTGATCTTCTTTTAACACATCAGACACATGGCAGCCCTGACATATGAATTAAAGCTATACACTTTTATCTGCAAAGGAAAGCCCTTCTAAGGAGAAAGTTGAGGCATATCTGACATTGCAAACAAAGCCAGCTAGCTTCTTTCCTTTGAGGAATTCTACTGGACTCTCTGCTTTCCTTAGAAGCACCTTGAATGAGGTTCTTGGGTTGGGATGGGGGTTTAGGGTCAGTCCTCGGACCTGCCTAGGATTTGGATTTTTCATCACAGGCCATGCACTTTTGTGTGACCTTGAAATGCTGCATGCACATTTCCAAAAGTGTGGAGTGAAGCAGTGCCTTCCACCATCCCCTAGGCAGACTTCAGTTGGGTGCAGCTAAGATGAGTTAAGGATTATTGGCTGAGGGATTCAGTTCTTCCTGGAACAGGAGCTCTTTGAGATTGTATCTGGCGGACAATTCCATGCACTCTTCATTTTGGCTGGATACACAGCATTGGCACAAAAGTGATTACTGGGGAAGATTTTTCCCCATCTTGAACCTGCTCTCAATGCCCCCAGAAAAGGTGGTCCTATCTGGGTTCTTGCTCTTCATCTGGGGAGAAACTAATAGACCTCACATTCCAAGTTCATATTCCACATTGGAGGAATAGTAAAATTACTTTATCTCAATGTAGATAGAGCCTGCAGCTCTCAGGATGCCTCAATCCATATGGGAAAAATAATGGTTTGCAAGGGGGATGTCAGACATGACATTCACCTGTAGTGGAGATGCCAGCAGGAGCAAGGGCTCTGGAGGATCTGGCCAGGGTTCCAGCTTCTTCCAGCTTCTCTTTGAGAGTCCTGCATGTAGCTCTATCCTTGGCCTGGCCCACAGTTCCTCAGCAGAGCTAATTAGCCAGAACAGAGCATCCACAATGAGGTGGCCATTTTTCACTTGATGAAACTGGCTGAAAATATTGCCAAAAAAAAGCCAACAACAAAATAAAGGAGAAGGCCACTTCCCAAGTCCCCTGGCCTGGGACCGTACCTTCACTTCTTCATTGCATTTTCCTTCCTTGTTGCGTTTCTCCTGTTAGCCTGTGGGCACCAACAAAGCACAGATTCTGCTGGTGTGGATCTGAAGGGGGATGTTCATGCTTTCTGCTTAGCATAGCGCCTCTTCCGGGTAGCTGGTATAAGTCTAGCTCCTTATTGCCCCACTGGCTTCCTGTCTTTCTCCAAGCCACTCCAGGAGTTCTCTCTCTCCTCTGACCCAGCCACAGAACCCTGCCACTGCAGGGGGATTCGAAAGGAATCCCCTTAGACATGGAGAAAACCCTTCTCTCTGCCCAGACAGTGCAGCTTCCCAAAACAAATAACATGACCCCTGGTAATTATACCAGGCCTAAAATATTACCAGGACCTACCCTGCCCCTTTGTTGAGGTGCCTGCCAATCTACTTCCTGCATGGTAAGGAAAAGGCCATGAAGCCACAAGATTCTGGGTGGGTTTCCTTTTTTGTAATCACACTAAATCACGAGACACCTTCTTATTCTTAAACACGGCCGCTGTAAGATGAGAGAAGGTGGCGCTGTTCTGCTTGATTCCTCAAAAACTGGTAAGTGGATTTAAATCTCTGCTACCCAAATGAGTTAAAAACCTAGGCATCAAACTGGAGAGCCACCTGCCCTGCCATCATGTCATCTCTCCCCCTAATGAGCTCTGGGAATGAACAACCTGAGATTCAACTTAGTCCTCTACCAAGCGGGTTGTTACAGGCATTCTGCATGCAGCGAAATTAGCAGGTGAGTTGACAAGAAGGGGACGTCGCTCATCTTATTTTTTCAAGCTACGTACCTTTATCAGTCTATTGTGCAGGTTGTGGTAGTAGATACAGAATTACACGCCTGCCCCAGCATGAACCTTCTGCACAGAAAAACGGCCAGATAAGGGGGCGGGCCCCAGTGGTAGAAAAATGGCCTGATCGCGCTTATCATAAAAGCGACAGAAATCCTGTCAAAGCGTCCAGCTCTCACTTCCAGCATCTCACATGTACGAAAGAAGGAACATCTGTGACGTGCCCATCAATATGTTTTAGTAACATTTTTTGGGACGAAAATTAACATTAACAGGAAGACAGGTTTGTGTTTCTCTGTATTTTCACTTATTAACACAGCAATCCCAAGGTGATTAGCAATTCTGAGCTATGTCGGGCTGTGAGTTTCCATGTGCAGCACTGAGACACAGGACAAACATCTTCCCTTTTAGCTCAGAGTTTGGGCTTGTGGAAATCTCAGGAAACCACACACAGCTTTGAAAAGCTTGGATGTCTTTCAGTCCATGTTTAAATGTGAGGAAACGTGCAGCAGAGAAAACAGAAATGTCACGGTACCACCGTGTTGGATTATGTCCATTATTTGCTAAGTGTCTATGGTGGGCCAGGCTCTGTAGAAAGCAGGTGTATGGCCTGGACCTTGCTGTCTAGGACTGGAAGTCACAGACTCTTCATTCATTCATTCACTCACTCACTAATCACCACTGGCTTAGCAATTCCTGAGTAGCAGATACTCCACTAGACACTGCTAAGTCCTACTGTACTGTAATAATCAGATATAAAACTTACCTAGAGGAGCTCACAGAGGGGTAAGGAAGACAAACAAACTCAAACATAAGTACAATACAAAGTTCCAGGACCAGGTGCTTTATCAATTCTTGTGTTTTCAGGGAGGTCCAAGGGAGCAGAGGCCAGACCTGGCAGTTGGGCTCTGCGTAGATCTCCCAAATCTCTGAGAATCTCTACCTCCCTATCTTATTGGGTTAGCATGAAGGTTGAAAGCCCTTAGAATAGTGAGTGGTCCTGTAGGAGCTCAATAAATGGCGGTCAACATAACCATCATCTTTACTACCACCACCACCAGCACCACCACCATCATCATCACCACCACAACCACCACCATCATCATCACCACCACCACCATCACCACCACCATCATCACCACCACCATCATCACCACCACCATCACCACCACCATCACCATCACCACCACCATCACCATCACCACCACCATCATCATCACCACACCATTATCACCACCACCATCATCATCACCACCATCATCACCACCACCACCACCATCATCATCACCACACCATCATCACCACCACCATCATCACCACCACCATCATCATCACCACCATCATCACCACCACCACCACCATCATCATCGCCACCACCACCACCATCATCATCACCACCATCATCATCA